GCAGAGCCAGCTGTACCCGCCCCCTCCACCGCTTGTTCCGCTAGTCAGCACTGGCGGATCGGAGCGGGGAGAGGGGAATCCAGCCCCTCCCCTTGTCACAGCAGAGAGCCGTGACAGGATCGAGAGGTGAGCGAACGCCGGTATGTGTTCGCTCACCTCCCGATCTACTGAGCCGACCTGTGACAGTCTCATTGTCACAGGTCGGCTAGAACTATGAGGTGAGTGAAAAGCACCCCCCTCATAGTTCTCCTTTAAATGCGGGGGGGGGGGCTATTTACATATGAATACGCCACGACTCATTCTCCCCCAAAAATGTCAGCGCATCGCTAGAGTGTTCGGGTTTCGCTTGAAGAAAAGGTGGCAACCCTAACCCGGGCTGAGGAGCAAATACCAGATGATGTTGGGTGCAGGGGCGTTGTTGCGTACCTTGTTGGAGACGGGATGTGAGTGGAGGCTTCCCTTCCACCTTGTGTCCTGGGGGACTCGGGATGGGAACAGAGACGAGAAGTACAACAAGTGGGAGGAGTGCCAGTGGTGTCGGGCACCGCGCAAGCCGTAATCCGAGGGGACGAGCCAAGGTCAGTTCCGAGCGGGCAGTCCAGGTACAAAAGGGTCAGGCAAAAGCGTAGTAAAAAAAAAAACCAGTTCCGAGGTCAAGGGCAGGCAGCAGTCAAGAGTCGTCAAGGAATTCCGGGTCACAAAGAGTCAGGCAAGGATAACAGAATCACAGGAACAGGGGATACCTGACGATAATCCAGCAACATGGTGGTGCTGTTGCTGAGCTTATGTAGGGGAAGTGATAGCTGTGATGAGTCACTTCCTGTGCGCCACTAAGGCGCATTTCCGTGCTAGTAGTTGACCGCTTCTACACATTCGCCGAATAGCGTGGTCCCGAATAGTACGAAAACGCGCGCCTGGCACATTGCGCAGTCGGCGGGGATCCCTTACAGGCGTCCCGAGAGCGGATACTGGGTGACACCCCGCCGTGACATCTTCGCGCATGCACGTGACGTCACCGTGCGCAATGACATCATCACATATGCCGGCCATCTAAGTGATACCTGCCGGTGTCCATCTTGGTGAGCAGAGGGAGGAGGGGACGTTCACCCGGTGAAATGAGGAGGTTGTCTCCTGCAACGGTTGGGCTCCTGGCCCATAGCCGAGTTCCCGACTTTTTAGAGGGGGGTGACACCAAAATGACTGTCAGTCATTTTGGTAGCACCCCTCCAATGGTGTCACCCGGGTGCGGGCCGCACCCCTCTTGTAACGCCACTGGTTGGGTGTCCTCCAGCCAGGAAATGAGGCGGGCTCTATCTGACTTGCTGCAGCTTCTAATGCACATTGCGAGAGGCGGCCAATGGGATTTGCTGTTGTGGCGATCACTGGAAAGCACACCAGTTGGTTCCTGACCATTAGTTGAGAAAAATAAAATAGCAAAGCTTCAGCTTCGAGGTGAATTATCTCGCAGACAGCAAATCCCTGTTTTCTAAAATGTTCAGAGACCCAACAAAGACCAGCACCCGTGTCATAAGAATCACACCTAAAGAGAACCAGTCTTGCGCAAGAAACTAAACATGGCGTCTTAAAGGAAACCGCACTGAGGGGAGCACAGAGGAGCCGCCATTGCTGACCTTCTTCTGATAATGTTTATTGCCTGCTCACCACCAGTTTCAATACTCTTTGAGATAGTAACCCAGGCTAAGCATGCAGCAAGCAAAGTCAGACTGAAGTCAGGACCTTTGATCTGAATTGAGGATGCCAAAGGAACTGAAGATGGTGGATCAGAATGACAGCCAGACAACCGTTATTTTCAGTTGAGGTCAGCAATGGCAGCCTACATATTTCCTTAGTACATGTTTCCTTTAAATTAATATAACTGGAACCCTGAGGCCCCATTCACACTGAGCGACATGAAAATCGCGCGACTTTGAGCGATATTGCGCGACGAGCGATATTGAGCGACATCGCTCAACTTCTTCCTATTGGGCTGTATGCAATCAGGAGCAATATCGCTCAAAATCGCTCGAAAAAAGGGTCATGTAGGAGCGACAAGCTACCAGCGACGAGCTACAAGCGATATTGAGCGATATTGAGCGATATTGAGCGACGAGATGTGAACAGCTCCATTGAAATGTATTGGTGAAGCTACATAGAGCGATATGGCGCGGAAATATGAGCGATATCGCTGCAATAAATCGCTCAATGTGAACAGGGCCTGACAGTTGCTGCCCTGTGTTAACTGCCTGACTTTATGCTTTGCACAAGCCGGAAGATGATGTGTGAGGTCAGGTAGCTGACCGGGCAGGAACTGTCAGACAGGGACAGTCCCCTTATGACCTTTCTTCACCCGTGGCCAATAAATTCTCTGCAGTAATGCTTGGTAGCCATAGACCATGTGACCTAGGCTTTGGAGACTTGGAGCAGGCAGTTGGTATTCCAGCTGTGTGTCTTATGCACAGTGTGACTTCTAATGATAGGGGGGTCGTGTGATAAGGGGGTAGGCCAAATGCAACAGTTTCCCTTTAATCCCACCCCTTCCCAGCAGAACATACATTTCCCTTGAGAACCCCCCCTGCCCCCCCCTCAAGGCCACTCAGGTGGTGAAAAGTGTAGAGTTTACCCTTGTCCCCTCCCTTCCTATCACTGCTAAATATCCATCAGGAGCAAAGAAAACTGGTACTTCTGCAAACGTGACTCAATGAATGTGACAGCGTTGGTGATTGGCCCAGGGCTGTCACATGGGGCCGGGAGAGCCCTGGAGTTATTTGGGGCTAACACGGCGCTGTTGGCTTAATGGAACAAGGGTGGAAATAAAGGACAACTGGTATTAGTAGCTGGGCAAGGAGAATTCAAGTCAACCCGTTGCTTTTCCCTGAATGGGCAAGACACATGTCCACTTTGAAGGTCTTTCTTGGCTATGGTTTTCGGAGAAACCCAAAAAGCACAGAAACAGCAAGGAACATACCGTAATGCTGTTTGGTATAAAATGGCATAAAAGGCAGACATGTGGGAGCAAAATGCTTGCACTTTAATACCACTACAACATCAAAGGTCCTTCAAAAAATGTCCACACCATGCTTGGCACGGTCAGTTTGGAAAAAGAACCAAGGACAACCGGCAGGATCACCAGATTTTTAGGATTATTCAATGAACTGGAAAAAAAAAGACTAGATCCAAAGGCAGCAACCCAACACGTTGATTGCATGTTAGTTATTGGGGTTACATAAGCTGTAGAAAAACCCACCAAACTTGGTGCATCCCTAGTTCTGATTAAAACAAGTTTTTTTGTATTGGGACAAGTAGATTTGGCCCCCGCTTTAGCCGTTGGACAATAGTTGTTGTTTTTTAAATTTCCACACCCCTGAGAGTCCCGGGTCTGTTTAAGCCCTTAAGGACCCATGACAGAATTATCCCATCATGGGTCATATATATTACGATAACACCTGGACGTTCAAGTCCAAATATTCCAAATAGTATCCAACAGTAGAAGGGAACTCATATGGAGCCGTTAAACTGGTATGACCTGGGTCAGACTATATAGCACATAGTGAATAAAAAGTGCCTAAAACCACCCCTGGTGTGGAAAACCATGTGCAATGATCCCTTTCTTATCGGACTAACAAAATATATAAAAGATAAGCTTTCCATAGTGAACCTCTCTTCTTCAGGTCAGAAGCTTATGGAACTCTTCTTCAGGTCAGAAGCAATACTGAATTATATATATATATATTAAATGATGAATAAAAAGTAATATGCATGGACCCGACTGCATGATACATGCTAAAAGGAATACCATAGAGAGCAAACAAAATCCTCACTGGGGAAGGCGAATGACTGGCAAAAACCAGTGCAGGCGAGGAGTAGGGGGGCAATCCCAGGACTTGCTGGAAGCCGGACAGTGCCATGGGTCAATGACTGGACTGGACCAAGGAAGCTGAAGGCATACTGTGGTTATTCGCTTCATCGGTATCCATGCTGAGATAAGGATAATAAACTTATATAAGGTGCAACAATGGCAGTGTGAAGTACACTGCTTGAAACGCTTGCACTCTATGGGTCATTTTTCGTGCACTTCATTGTCCTTGAAACACTTCACTCCAAACTGACATTCCAGCTGTTAGTGGACTCTGACATCGCCTACTAATCTCTTCCACCTGTTGCTGCCTCTAGATACAAGATAATCTCTCCTCTGGGCCTGACTCCTTCTCCTGCAACCACCGTACTACAAAACAACGTCCAGCGTGGAGATAATTCACCCTCATAACGGTCATGGAAGGCGACAGGTGCTGCACACCGCAAGAATGTTTCAACAGCTGGGTGATTCATCACGCTAGCATCTACACAGAATCCATTTCAGTGCATTGACCCTTATTATGAAGCCACAACTGTGTTCACTCAGCTGATTATCTTCTTATAGGTAGGATTGGAAAGTAGTGGCAACTGCGTTTGAGAATACAAACAACTTGCCAAAATGTATCATTCATATTAATAAATTCTTCCAGTCCATCCAGCTACCTGGACCAGCAGAAATAGCCCTGCAGATAGCCAGCAGTCCTTGGTGGAGGAACATAGTTACATAGTATTTGAGGTTGAATAAAGACATAAGTCCATCAAGTCCAACCTATTGCGTGTGTGCATTTATGTTTGAGCAGGTATGTGCGTGTGTATGAGTCCATGTGTGATTTTGCTCTTAGGAGTACCTGTACCCCTGTATGTTACGGTCTCCAAGGAACTCGTCCAAGAGTTTCTTGAATGATTCCACACTCTTATTGTTCTAGATCCATAAATGGACCTCTCTTACCACAACAACCATCCTCCCACCTCCCCGTAGAAGACCATCTTACCTGACAGCGCCAGCAAGGACGGGAAGTCTCGGCAGTTGTACACGCCGGTGGAATCGGTGGCGCAGCTCATCCACAGGTTCTCGAACAAGGTGGAGGTGGTGATGACGTTTCCATCCACCGAAGACACCCTCCAGTTGGCGTTGAAGAGAGTGATGCCCAACAAGACGGAGCCTATGACCCCAAAGAAGAATCCCATCGTCTCCACGATCATTGACATTTCCAAAGGTGGTTGAAAGGACAACACACGGCTAAAAACCTTTCTGAATACTTCACTTCTACAAAACTTTTTTTTTTTCTAGGTGGTTTTGTCCTGACCGGGGTGTTTTCTGTCACCTCTTCACTGTTGGTAACCAAATTTGGCTTTTTCTGTTGCCTTTTCCCACAGTCTTTCCAGGCTTGTTTTTGCAGATCTCTACTGGGAGGTTATCTAGCAAGAGTTCGTTGTCACCTTTCTGACAATGACCCTTGTACCGTAACTCTGACCCTACTGTCTCCCGTCACCGACTCTCTTCTCCACCTGCTTTTCTAAGCTTGACTCGTTGAGCCCTCCTGGTCTTTTGAAGACCGCAGAACCTCTATTTCTGTTGATCGGTGCAGGCGCCCGTGTCTTTGGTGGCTCAGAAGTCCCAACGCTTGAATGCTTTTTTGGTCAGCTGGTAACTTTGGGGTAAGTGTGCCAGCAAGTCTTCTCGGAGCCTGTGAGCACCTGCTGGCATCCAGAGAGACAGAGAGATGTGTGTTATGTGTTTGCCCTGCTGTCTGGTATACAGGGAACAGTGTGAAGGTGTGGAGGCATTCCCCTCCTCCCTCTCCTCCTCACCCTGCACTGATCTGCCTACACACCTTATAGCCTGGGACAGGTGATACAGAATGTACAGTGATATATAATGTATCTGACTGAAGGATTGTATGTAAAGATATCAGCAGCAGCTAGATTACATACAGACACACTATATATATATA